TTCGACATGGGGGAGTTTTCTCCGGTCTATAACCCCGGCCTCTTTCCGCTTGCGAATGTGACGTCGCTGCCGTTCATGACAGACAACCCAATGGCGCACGTTCACTCAGGTCACGAACTGTTCCAGACGCCGGCGGTCGAAGCTGAATTCACTGCGATGAACCAAAAGTATCTGTTCCCGGGTCAGTGGGGGTCCATCCAGATGCTGTCTCACGATCCGATCCGTTCGGTCGAAGACCTTAAAGCTGCCAAGATCCGCGCGCACGGTGGTGCGGCTGAGATCTTGAAAGCACTGGACATCACGGTTTACGGTATCCCTTGGGGGGAACTGCCAGCTGCTGCCGAACGCAAAGTTGTCACAGCGGCGATCATTGGTGCGCCAGCAGATGCCTATGCCTTCGGCTTTGGTGAAATCTTCAGCTACTGGGACGCAGTAGATTGGTTCTACTTCCCAATGCCCGTATCCATCAACCTAGATACTTGGAACGGTCTGCCTGATGACGTGAAAGCTGTGATCGAAGAGGTTCGTGACGAGACCGTTTCGCAAGCGCGCCTGCTGTTGGAAGCAACTGAAGGTGAGGCGGTTGATGCCCTGAACAAACTGACTGATGTCGTTAAGTTCGACGNCGCCCGAAACATCTGAACAGTTCTGGGCGGCGCAATCTATCGGAACGCTATGGGATTGTGCGGGCTGTCTGGTGCCTGACTTAAATCAAGACGTGTTCTGTCTGTTCGAATTCCTACATTTTGGAGGGGGATGTCTGCATGACAAATTTAACCAGCCGCGCCCTGTTGGCGCAAACGAAGCTGGAGGAAATCGCCTGTTATGTGTCGGCGATGGCCGTCGCGACAATGATGACAATCACCGTACTCGAAGTTCTTGCGCGGGCATTGTTTTCCAAAAGCTTACCCGGTGCCTATGAATACGTCAGCTTGATGTTTGTCTATCTGATCTATCTGGGCCTTGGATATTCGCAACGCCACGACGCACATATCACGGTGGGCATTCTATATGACCACATGCCCCGAAGCGTCAGAAAAACGATCGAAGGTGTCTACCTTCTTGCTGCGTTTTTGTTCTTTTCCATGCTGACATGGACGAGCGCTGAATCTGCGTGGACCAATTATCTCATGGGTGACACGGTCCTTGGCATTATCGAAGTAAAAACATGGTGGGCCCGCGCTGGCATCCCGATCGGGCTGGCGCTGTTTGCGCTCAGGTTTCTGACCCAGTTAATCCATCTGATCACAAAAAACGAATTGTTTGAGGAGTCTGGCGTCAATGATCTTTCGCATCAGGGTGCCGTCGAAGCCGAGGAAAAGCCATGATTGAATCACTTCAACTGCCGTTTGTGATCGGCATGGTCGCCGTCTTGATGATCATGCGCGTGCCTGTNGCCATCGGCGGGCGGCTTTTCGATATCGGCTCCGGTTATGCGCTAAGCGCGGTGCCCCTGTTCCTTTTGATGGGGCACGTCGCAGCCAAGGCTGGTATCACGCAAGATATCTATCGGGCCACGCGCGCCTGGCTGGGACACATGAAAGGTAGCGTGGTGATTGCAANCGTGTTCGGGGTCTACCACGTCCTCCACCGCTGTTTTCGGGCGCGTGGCGATCCCTGAAATGCTGCGCCTGAAGGTAAACCGTAAGCTTGCGGCCGGTTGTGTCGCCACCGTGGGCACACTGGCCGGGATGATACCGCCAAGCATTAACTTGATTGTCTACGGTATCATTGCGCGCGAATCCGTGCCCAAACTGTTGATCGCCGGTATTGTTCCGGGTCTGCTGACCGCTTTTGCGTATCTCGTGATGATCTATATCCGCGTCAGTCGTAATCCGGAAATGGCACCCGCCCTTCCGAAGGCCGGTATCGAAGAACGTTTACAGTCCTTGAAGGGTGTCTGGAGCTTCCTGACCCTTGGTGGCATCGTGATCGGCGGTATCTATGCGGGCATCATCACCCCGACGGAGGCAGGCGCAATTGGCGCTGTCGGGTCTTTCCTGATCGCTTTGCTGCGCAAGCGGATGTCATTCGCCGTCTTGAAGGAAGTTTTTCTCGATACGGCACAAACAACATCGGTCATCTTTATTATTCTTGTGGGGGCGTTGATTTTCTCCTCCTACCTTGCGGTAAGTGGCGCATCAGGGGCGGTGTCGGAATATATTGTGGGCCTTGATATGTCGATGATGGGCATCGTGTGCATCTACGTGCTGCTCTTGCTGGTGTTGGGCTGCATGGTGGATCCGGTATCGGTGATGTTCTTGACTGTGCCGATCTTTGTGCCGCCGCTGATCGAACTGGGTGCCCATCCGATTTGGCTGGCAATTGTGGTGGTCAAAACGCTTGAGATTGGCCTGATCACACCGCCTGTTGGGTTGAACGCTTTTGTCCTGAAAGGTGTTGCGCCCTCGTTCTCGCTGAAAGAGATCTTTGGCGGCATCTGGTGGTTCTTGCAGGTCGAGGTCATTACCTTGCTGATGATCATGTTCATCCCGGCCATCGCTACCATTCTACCCGAACTGGCGTATGCAAAATGAGGGTGCGGTGATCCCCGCACGCTGTCTTTCAAANCAAATTGCTGCCGTTTCTTTGCGCGCCTCGCCTAGCGCAGAACAAGCTCCGCGGGAAACGACTGTTCCAGAACTGTTTCAAGGGGCGTTGGTGCGGATATCAATGTAAGGGCACATTCTACCAGATGGACAACGGGCACCCTGATTGTTGTTACGCCACCGTTCACCCACTTGTAAAACGACGGGTCGCCGTAGCCCACAAAAGCCGGTTTTGAACCATCGCTGCCGGTATGATCCATGAATGCACTCAGCGCACCGTTGGATATTTCGAACCCGCCACACACCAGTGCGGTTGCCGATCCCGACGCCAGAATATCGGACGCATTTTTGCGCCCCATTTCGAACGAAGGGGTGCCGGTTCGTATCAACGTGCCTGGGGCCTCCAGCCCGACTTCCCGAATGGCTCCCAGAAATGCAGCAAGCCGGCCACGGCCGCTGGACAGGGATTTGTCCGCGCCAATATAGGCAATTCGGC